AAACTATTTGTGGCACCCCAGAACAATTACAATAGTAACATCAAAGATCATTGATCGTAGGTCACCATAACAGATACAACGATAATGAAAAAATTTGAAATATTGTGAGAATTATCAAAATGTGACACAAACACAGTGGGAGCACATGCTATCAGAAAAACAGCACCACTAGATTTGCTTGATGCAGGGTTGCCACAAACCTTCAATTAGTGAAAAATGCAATAGCTGCAAAATGCAATAAAATGAGCTATGTCTATATGTATAACATTGTATTGGCAGCTCTTTGTTAATTCAGACTGGTCTTTTTCTCATGTCTCTTCTTTGAATTTTTCCTGATTTTATCACCAGTTTTCATGCTAATCAGCTGAAGAATTAGATGAGGTTTTTTTTCCTACTTCTTTGCAAGAAACTTCTTGATTCTGAAAGTCATGCGAGAAGATCACCACAATGCCTACATCATAATAGTGGTATAAGCAAAAAAAAAAGGGGGGGGTGGTATCCTTGGTGTATAATACTTTGCACAGGAAATCTGAGATGACATTTCCAAATTAATTTCATGACAATCCATCTCTATTTTATGCTTCCCTAGACATTAATAAGCAGTCATTTAATAAAGCTAAAGCTTTGGTTGCATTTAGCTAGGAATTTTGTTATGATTGTAACATACACATGAGAGACTATTTGTTAGAGAACTTTTATTACTGAGGAAGGAGCTGTGCTCACTTTGCTATAGCAATAGTCAAAAAATGATGATTATTAGGTGAGAACAATTTAGGAGAAGACTGCTTCAGTTTGGGTGACCCTGGCTTCTCAAAGACTATGCTAGTAAAGCATAAGTTTTGGCATGCTCTACAATCCTATATAGGCTTCAGGTATGATCCTGGCAACAGACTATGTCTACTTTTCGCAGATAAGACTAGTTAAATAAGGAGATTTTTTATTACCAGTATTGGCTAGAAACTTGATGATGACATTTTTGGCCATGGCAATCCATGAAGCTATTTACTTTTGCAGAAAGATAGTAATTTTATACTATAAGAAAGTCATCTATACAAGATCCATTCCATCCTAATGAGAAAAAGGCAAATAACCAAAAAGCCAGTTAGCATAAGAAACCTTTTCTATTTCTTTTTTGCAATTTGATTAGATTTTTCTTTAAAGAAAATTAGTCTCTGTGCCTTTAGATGTGGATATGCTTTCTTTAAAAGTGAGAGAGAGAGAGAGAGAGAGAGAGAGAGAGCTGCCTTGGATTCAAAAAGACGTGGGTTCCAATCCATCTTCTGACAATACTATCTACACGACTATTGTCAAGAGAGCTAGGTGGCTTAGTAGACAGAGAGTTGGGCCTGAAGTCAAGAAGACCACTATTTAAATTAGACCTAAGACACTTACTATCTGTGTGACCCTAGGCAAGTAACTTAATCTCTGTTTGCTTCAGTTTCCTCATCTGTCAAATGAGGATAGTAATAGCATCTACCTCCTAGAGTTGTTGTGAGGATCAAATGAGATAATAATTATAAAGCACTTAGCACAGTGCCTGGCACATAGTAAGTATTATATTAGCTAACATCATCATCATTGTCACCATCATCATTACATTTAATGCCTCAGTGCCCCAAGCACTGAGTTCATTTCTAAGTTTATGGGTTATAGTTACAGATTTGCATAAACAAAAAGTTTTCCACACTTTGAATTTATCACATTGATGAAATCATTGCTACAAATTTTTATTAAATGCTTTTGTTGTCAATCTTACCTTTAGACATGATATAGTTCTCATGTTTATCTCACTTAATGCTTTTGTTTTATTTGAATTTAGCTTTATCTGTTATAACTTCAACTCACGGCTTTTTAAACTTTAGTAAATTTTCATCCAAATTTCCATTTTAAATTTGTGAGATTTTCTGTCTTAAGTAGGTTTTCTGTAGGCAACATATGATTTAGTATTGCTTTTAAATCTATTCTGTGTCACTTTTATGTTTTATAGGGGGTTTAAATCCATTTTTATTCAAAGTTATAACTGGTATTTCCTTCTCTCATACTATTCTGTATTATATTTTTCAGTAAGAAGAATGACCTACATTAATTCATTAGTCTAAGCCTAGTTTTTATACATGCTTATGGACAATTCAAAACAGACCTATACCTTACCCCAACAAATTACTAACTATATATCTTAAGTTTCTACTTAAATTTCTACTATTACCTTATTTTAAGTTTTACAATGGTTTTGACTGATCCATATATCCCACTCCCCTTTTAACTATTAGTATTCTTCAGATTGTCCATTCTCCATTCTTCCTTCTCCCTTTTCCTCATTTATTCATCATTTGCGATGCCCATAATCTATAATTTTTTCTTTTTTCTCCTTCCCATTACTGGTTATTCTTTTGTTGTAGCAATAATAATTATGTATATTATGCATATTATATATATATATATATATGTATATATTTACACACATTCTCTTCCCCACTCCTCCCCCAAAACCCATTTGGAACCTTTAGTTCCCAATCAAGACATACTTTCTGCCTTATGAGGGCTCTGAGGTTTTGGTTTATTAAACCAAAGCTATTGTTGCACTGATATTTCCCTATGGTGATTTTAGTAGATTAACTTATCATCCTAATATTTCTATTATTTTGGTGCTTCCTCCCAAAACTTGGGACAATTATAAATCAAAACAATCCTGTTATTGTTTTGCTAACCTTGTGTAACATTTAACTGAATCCCTATTTAGTGATTCAAAGTTCTAAAGTTCACTTAGTCTTCATTGAAGTTCAAACTTGATTTGCATATTGAAGTTCATATTTAATTTGCATATAGAAGATCCTGGTTAAGACTGGCCTCATTTATTTGTAGAATCTCTGTTTCTGGTTTGATTTGCATATCAAACGCCTTGGAAAGACTTGTTTTCTCTGGGAGAAATTTGACCTATCCTATTTAATTTCATGGAGAACGTACTCTATATTCAAAGTATTTATTTCCCCAGTGCTGTACAATCATCTCAGAAAACAAGTTGTTGACATTCTATAGAGTTCTATAGCACACATATGTTCTTTGAAATAACATCAATATATGTGACAATACCAAGTATAACCTTCCTCAGAACAGGTTCTTGAGATATCGGTATATTTAATCATTTTTCCCAACTATCAACTATTTTGTTAGAGACTGAAATGAAACCATTCCCATGACTTTTTTTGAGAAACTAAAGTCGTATTTGTTCTTGGTCAAGTATATACAAGTTGACAATTTCATATACCTATCTCCTGATTTTATCCTTCAAATAATCATAAAAAATCACACATCATCTATATGTCATTTCCTATCTAGAGTATGCTCCATAAACCATTAAAATAATTGTTGACCATAAATTAAAAAATAAACAAGTTAATACAGCACTTAATGGAGAAAAGGTGACCTGCTATGGAAAGAAATGCATAATTCCCTGTGCATTAGAATCTAGAGAGGGATTATTTGGACGATGATCAGAGATAGCTAGTCAAAAAATGTTAGTTATTGATCACATGGCTACATGAAAATATATCCAAAACAAACTCTAAATTAATCAGGCACATTCAATTATTCCTCCATCAAGTCCTAATACTCCATAATAGCATGGAAGTGACCCTGGTTCTATATGCTAATGGAGTGTAGATTCTCATGGATCTTACCAAGTTGGAAAGACTGAATGTGAGTCCAACAGTAGACATTTGTTTATTTTCCAAGATATAGAAAAGATATAAATAAGGGCAAAAAGGCCACAAATCACTTTTTTTAAAAAAAGCATTTCCCTTGAAGTGATCTTTATTTCTATAAATAGAAGAACATAATTTCCAAATGAACAACTGAAGCAATATTAAATAAGTCATTTCCACATAAATATCATCATAAATTAAAACTAAAATACTGGCATAGATATGAGAGAGAAAGAGACAGAGAGAGAGACAGAGAGAGAGAGAGAGAGAAACAGACAGACAGAGACAGAGAGACAGAGAGAGATGAAGACATACATACAAACACACAGAGACACATAGATGCACAGACATGCAGACACAAGCAGATTGGATTACATATTGGAGAAAGCAATGAACTGAAATTTGGGCAACCCAGATCTTACTCCCAGATTACCAGTTCCTGGCTCTGTGACCATGGACATCACTTAATCACTCTACTCTTTCTTAGTGTGTGTGTGAGGCAATCAGGGTTAAGTGACTTGCCCAGGGTCACACAACTAGTAAGTGTCATGTGTCTGAGGTCTGATTTGAACTCAGGTCCTCCTGACTCCAAGGCTGGAGTTTATCCACTGTGCCTCCTAACTGCCCCATCACTCTACTCTTTAGAGGGATTTGGCTAGATGATCTCGAGAATCCCTTCCAATTCTAACAGTTGTTATTTCCACAATTACATAAAAGAGAAATTTCCCCTAAAGTATGTTTAGCACCATTTTCTAAGTTTGATAAAGCCTTTGTTTAGCAGAGTACTTTTTTTCCATACTGAAAGCTAAAATGTATGCTTAGAAAAAATCAAGAATACGTGATTGCAAAAGGTTAACGCCACCCAAAACAGATGCCAGAAGTAATAAAGAGCCTTTTTTAAAGTTCCTTGCTTTGTTCTCCAGTGCAATGCATTGTATCATAGGTACAAACTTTTGACACTTCATTTGCTGTATTACAGTAAATCAGTGTACTATACAAGGACTATTCAATTTTAACCCTATTATTACTTAGTTCAAGATTTGACAAATTTCAAATACAATAATTTCTGCCTACAATTTCTCTTCCAATTGAAGGGAACTGAATTCATATAGCGCAACAAAGCCATCTAATTAGGCAAGTCTAGGCGTCTTTGAGACTCAAATGGACATTAGTTACTCTCCCCATAGCACTTGTTAACGTTTCTAATAATACGAAGAATTGTTTATAAGAACACTAAATCAATCAAAGCTCACTCTAGCAATTAAGAATATTTATTCACAACACTAGCAGATTACATACTTTTTTTTTCTCCTCTTCTCTCTGCAAGATTTCCTTCTCCTTCCGAAGTTTCTCTTCCTTCTTTTCTTTTTCCCTTCTTCTGATAATAATGTTGTGTTCTAGTTTTGCTTCTTCCTCTTGATGTGCTCGCCACTGAAGAACCTAAAGAAAGTGGGAAACCATTTTAGACAACTATATAAAGTTCAGAGGTCAAAATGCACACAGTGAAATTTGGAGTCACTTTCCAAGTAGTTTCCTCATCACACAAATATCAAGTCAAAATTGAACTTTAATATGAACTGTGTCAATTTGGTCTACAAAATTTCTAGGTATGCATTTTTCTCAATAGTTCAAGGGTCTCAGCTTTCAACCATGAGGGCACTCCCTCCAGTGGTGCAGATTACAATTCCTGAAGAAAGTTACTGTGGTTGAAATTTTCAGTATCCTGAAGCAATCAATCTGGTGATGAACCTCTCTGAAGTTAGCCAGGTTGGTCCTCAAAGAATAGATATTACCAATTTCATACAGGAAAACTTCCCAGCTTGGCAGGAATTAACAATGTTTGTACTCTATTGGTATTGCTTTCAAGAATGTATGGTCATCAATACCACAATAAGCATTAGAGTAAGGCTTTAGTTAAAGATTATATTGGCATGTACATATACATTGGGCACATTCTGATTACTAAAAAGAAGTGCATGAACAAACATTAATGCCTTATATTTGTTTTCATCATGATTCTGATTAATGAAATTTTACATGAAAGTCAGACAAGGTAGAGTATCATTTAAGTATTCCCCCAAAGACTTAGGATCTTCAGATTTTCATAAATAATTTATTTTTTGAAGATGGCAGAGTAAAGGCAGGGATTTGTCTGACCTCTCCCAAATTCCCCTCCAAATAATGTTAAAATAATGCCTCAAAACAAACTCTGGAGTGGGAGAACCAAGAAAAGGATAGGGATAAAACAATTTTCCAGCCCAAGACAACATAGAAAGTGGGCCAGAAAGGTTTGGAGAGAGAGTGGAACACAGTCTAGCACAGACCACACCCAAGCAAACCAGTAGCAGACCTTGGAAGTGACTGAATCAGTGGTGGTGGCAGTGACTTCCAGAGACCTCAGCCCACAGACAGTAAGGGGATTGGAAAATTAGTCAGAAGGAGATTATATGCACCCAGTGCCTGTGCTGACACTGGGTGCATGACTCTGTTTTGTTTCCCATATGTGGTTCTGAGTCAAAGTCTAGAGGTCCAGGTCTGGGTCCAGGGCAAGGAGGAGGACAAACAGGAACAGGTCACAGTTCCAGGGCAGAAAATAGTGCTTGTGGTCACTCAGACCAGAACACAGACAAGGAGAGTATTAATTACACCTCTCCTTAGATCATACCACAATGAAAGAACTGAAACTCCCAGAACTAGCTCTGAACACAGCAGCAGAAAAAAACTGAAGCTTGGGACAGTGCTCCCTTTACCCTGGGAGCAGACTCCAACTTTAATATAAAGTTAAAAGTCAAGAAACAGGCTGGGAAAATGAGCAAACATAAAAAAGAACCTGACAATCAAAAGTTACTATGGTGACAAAGATCAAAACAGCTATATGCAAAGCCTCAAAGAAAAATGCAAATTGGTCTCAGGCCCTGAAAGAAATCAAAAAGGATTCTAAAAATCAAATAAAAAAAGCAGAGGAAAAATGAAAAGAAATGAGAGTGATATAAGAAAGAGTAGACAGCTTGGAAAAGGAAGCACAAAAAATGCTGAAGAAAATAATACCTTAAAAAACAGAATAGACCAAATATTAAAAGAGACACAAAAATACACTGAAGAGAAAAATCCCTCAAAAAGCAGAATTAGTCTAATGAAAAAAGAGATGCAAAAATGCACTGAAGAAAACAACTTCTTAAAAAGTAGAACTGGAGAAAAAAAAGTAGGATGGCCAAATGTGAGGAAAATAATTCCTTCAAAATTAGAATTGCACAAGTGGAAACTGATGACTTTATGACACATCAAGAAACAATAAAACACACCAAAAAGCCAAAAAAAATGAAGGTGAAGGTTTTGGGGCAGCTAGGTGACACAGTGGATAGAGCACCGACCATGGAGTCGGGAGGACCTGAGTTCAAATCCGGCCTCAGACACATAGCACTTACTAGCTGTGTGACTCTGGGCAAGTCACTTAACCCCAATTGCCTCACCCCCCCCCAAAAAAAGAAACAATAAAACAAAATAAAAATAATTAAAAAAGAAGAAAATGTGAAATATTTCATCAGAAAAACAACTGACCTGGAAAATAGAATGAGAAGAGATAATTTCAGAATTATTGGACTACCTGAATGCCATGATAAAATAAAAAAACAAAACTAGAAATGATATTTCAAGAAATTATTCAGGAAAACTGTCCTGAATTCTAGAAACAGAAGATAAAATAGAAATTGAAAGAATCCACTGATCATCTCCTGAAAGAGATTCAAAATGAAAATTCCCAGGAATATTATAGCCAAATTCCAGAGCTCCCAGGTCAAAGAAAAAACACTGCAAATAGCCAGAAAGAAACAATTATAATATTTTGGAGCTGCAGTCAAGATAACCCAAGATTTAGCAGCTTCTACATAAAGGATCAGAGGACTTGGAATATGATTTTCTGGAAAACAAAGAACTAGGATTACAACTAAGAATCACTTACCCAGCAAAACTGAGCACAATCCTTCAGGGGAAAAAAAAGTGGATGTTTAATGAAATTGAGGACTTTCCAGATGAAAAGAACAGAGCTGAATAGAAAATCTGACATTCAAACACAAGACTCAAGAGAACCATAAAGAGGTAAATGGGAAAGAAAAATCATAAGGGATTTAATAAGGTTATACTATTTATAGTATTTACTGTGTCATTACTTACATCTTACATGGGAAGATGATACTTGTAACTCCTAAGGACTTTTTTTCTATTAGGGCAGTTAGAAGGAGTGTACATAGACAGAGGGCACAGGTGTGAATTGTCTATAATGGAATGATATCCAAAAAAATAAAAATAAAATGAAATTAAGGAGTGAGAAAAAGGAATGCACTGAGGGAAGAAGGAAGGGAAAGATAAAATGGGGTAAATTACATCACATGAAAGAAGCACAAAAGAGCTTTTACAGTGAAGGTGAAAAGGGGGGGAGTGGCAGGCAACTCTTGAACCTTACTCTCATCATAATTGTCTCAAAGTGTGATAACATACATATTCAGTTGGGTATAGAAATCTATCCAACAGGGAAGTAGGAGGGGAGGGATGATAGAAAGGAAGGCAGGCTGGGGAAGGTTGTGGTTAGGAACAAAACACTTTTGAGGAAGGACAAGGGAAAAGGAGAGTGAGAGAAGGATAAATGGTGGAAAAACAGAATAGAGGGATAAACAGTAATCATAACTGTGAATGTGAATGGAATGAATTCACCTATATAACAGAAACAGATAGCAGAGTAGATTAAAAACCAAAATCCTACAATATGTTGTTTAAGAGAAACACATTTGAAGTAGACATACACAAAGTAACTCTATTATACTTCAACTGAAGTTAAAAAAACCAGAGTTATCAATCATGATCTCAGACAAAGCAAAAACAAAAATAAATCTGATTAAAATAGATAAGCAAGGAAATTATATTTACTAAAAAGAACCATAGACAATGAAGTAATACCAATACTAAACACATATGTACCAAATGGTATAGCATCCAAATTCATAAAGAAAAAGTTAAATGAGTTACAGGAGGAAACAGACAACAAAACCATACTAGTGGAGGGACCTCAACTTGCCCCTTTCAGAACTAGATAAATCTACCCCCCAAAAAAATAAACAAGAAAGAAGTTAAAGAAATGAATAGAATTTAAGGAAAGTTAGATGTGGTAGACCTCTAGAGAAAATTGAATGCAAATAGGAAGATACTTCTTTTCTCAGTGGTACATGGAACCTACATAAAAATTGACTGCATTAAGGCATAAAAACCTCACAACCAAATACAGAAATGCAGAAATATTAAATGTATCCTTTTTACATCATAACACAATAAAAGTTATATCCAATAAAGATCTGTTGAAACATAGATTAAAAATTCCTTGGAAAATAAACAATCTAATTCTAAAGAATGAATGGGTCAAAGAACAAATCATAAATCAATACAATCAATTATTTCATTAAAGAGAATGACAACAATGAGACAACGTACCAAAATTTATGGGATGCAGCCAAAGCAGTACATAGGAGGAAATTATATCTCTAAATGTTTACTTACATCAATAAAAATAGAGAAAGAGCTAATCAATGAATTGGGCATGCAACTAAAAAAATAAACAACTAGAAAAACTAGCCATTGCCTAATTGATAAATGGTCAAAGAATATGAATAGGCAGTTTTCAGACAAAGAATTTGAAGCTATTTATAGTCACATAAAAAATGTTCTAAATCACTATTGATTAGAGAAATGGAAATTAAAACAACTCTCACATCTATCAGATGTGACAGAAAGGGTAAATGATAAATGTTGGAGGAGATGCGGGAAAATTGGGGCACTAATGCATTGTTGATGGAGTTGTAAACTGATGCAACCATTTTGGAGAGCAATTTGGAACCATTCCCAAAGGGCTATAAATTTGTACATACTCTTTGATACAGCAATATCACTGTTAGGTGCATATCCAAAAGAGATTTTTTAAAAAAGGAAAAGGACATATTTGTACTAAAAAAAAGTTTATATCAGCTCTTTTTGTGGTTGCAAAGAATTAGAAATTGAAGGGATGCCCATCAATTGGAGAAAGGTTGAATAAGAATATTATTGTGCTATAAGAAATGACAAGCAGATTGATTTCAGAAAAACCCTGGAAAGACTTACCTGAACCAATGCAAAGTGAAGTGAGCAGAACCAGGAAAACATTGTACACAGTAACAGCAATATTGTATGATAATCCTCTGTGGATGACTTAGCTACTCTCAGCAACACAATGAAGGACTAATGATGAAAATTGCTATCCACCTCCAGAGAGAGAACTGATGGAGTCTAAATGTAAATCAAAGCATATTTTTTTTCACTTTATTTTTGTGAGCTTTTTTATTTGGCCTGTGTTTTCTTTCACAACATGATTAATATGGAAATATGTTTCGCATGACTGCACACATATAAGCTATATCAAA